GAGTGTTTTTACCCCCTTCCCTTTCATTGTCCTGCCTCGTACTTTGCTGGCACCAGGATCCTGCTCAGCCTCTTCTGTGAAACAGAAATCCGCAGTAGCTCTTACAGTTTCATGCCCCGTGATCAATGATGTTTTTCGCAAAGCTGTGAGTCTTGGACACTTTTTCTTTATGCAAATAGGAACACCAGTGGGAGATACCCAACTTGATCACTGTGAATACTTGAGCACAACACTCTACTCCTTCCCCTAATATTTTATAGGAACAGGAAGACTAACTGGTCACATTGAAGAAGTTCTGCCTTTTCTATGATTAACTATGTTAACAAATCTGGGTAATATACTGCTTTTTCAGTCAGAGTTCAGTGATAAAATCAAAGAGGCAAAGCATCCATCTGGAATCACTTTGCTCTTCTTAGCATTTCTGTTTTATTTTCCCTGCTCCTAATCAGTCCTTAAAGTTACTCCAGATCCACTTAAGCAGCAGATCATCCAAAACATCTCTAAAATAATACTAAGACATTTCTCTAACATCAGATAATGGCTTAGAAGGTCTAAAAATTACGCTAGTAGCTCCTCAAGGTATGAACTGCAAGTCACTTCCATCCTATTGATATAGGTGATGTCAGAGGATGCCTGCAAGAACAAATAGCTGTTGACACTGATTTTTAAAAATAACCTTTCTGGCTCTCTGTGGTTGTGTTAGATTCCTATTTGATATGACAACAGCACTCGACCCTCTTCTGACAGTGTTGAGACAGAGGCTGACACCTTCCAGATGTTAAAACAGCTGCCCAGGTAGTGAGTTACATATGCCTCCTTTGGCAAAAAGAGGGAAGAAAATCAATTGTAGAGGTGCAAATACTTCATACTACTTGAAAGAGTTCCACCAAGCATCCAAATTGGCTTTTCCATTTGCACACAACTGCTGAAGAAAGCAGTGTGAAGGTTTGAAACAGATGAAGAGCATCTAGCGGTGTCCAGCACAAACCTCAGTGTGCCTGGTGAATGTCGCTATGTAAGTCAGAGATGTTGAGGCACTCCCAACATAGGTCTTGCGGCTGCTTTCCCTTGCCTGCAGCAGCTGTCCAGGGCAGAGTGCAAATGAGCCAGTTTCCCTCAAAAACTGGTCAGTCTCTTCCCAGCTGTGCCTCAGAGCAGCTGACATAGAACAACCAGGGCCCTGCTTTTTCAAATACTCTTGGGTCTGGTATTGTTGATGCTGACCCTGCACCTGGAAGTGAGGTAATTTTTTAAAGTCTCCAAGCTGACCCATCCATACCAGGGACAATCCAGTAATCAGGAGCTGTTATGTAGGATACAGAAAGATGCTTAGTGAGAGCTGCTGAACACTTCCTTTCTGCACTTTAGATTAAAGGGGCTGAGCTTCTTTGTAAAATCAGATTTGCACTTACCCCTGCCAAAAGAAACACATGGACGTATGTCTCACATTATGTATGGTCACACATGCTTTGTGTGAGCATCAGCTTCAAAGCCCTAACTGCGTAAGTATTATAGGCTTTACGACGGGCCTCAAAATACTGGAAAAAAGAAGTCTGAAGGCCAGGCTGTGGCTGCCACCTGGGAAACCGAAGCTCAGGTTTAACTCCCCTGCTTGTCTCCTGTGCCACATCTCATGGAAGAGCATCCTATTTCTATGCTCACCAGCAACGGTGGAGGCCCAGGAATAGAGTTTACTAATTGTATGGGGCGAGCATAGGGTGAGTAGAGACTGCAGCCCCATGGACCCAGTGAAAGTGTTATCTATGCATGTTGTAGCTTGATCCTTTCAGCAACTAAGCTTCTCTGCTCACTGGGCTGCTGGAGAAGGTCAAGTCATGTTTGTCTCCAATTGGGTGATAGAGGCAAAAATGGACAGCGGCACTTGTAGCTTTCACCAAGTGATGGACTTGATCTGGCTGGTGTGAGGGCTAAAGACTGCCAGGAAGAGAGATGCCAAGCCAGCAGACTCGAGGGGTTTTAACCCATGCTTTTAGGGAGGTGCATGGGAGACAGCACAAGATTCTTCCCCACCAGTTCTCCTGATTGCTGCAGGAGGACCATATTTTTCTGCTGCTGGGAAAGAGAGGATGTAGGATTAAATCCTGGATCAGGAAATGTAGAATGGGTATGGATTTCATTTCAGAGCCAGCATGATTTTGCCTCATGGATGTACCCACTCAGTTCCCTGCCTTACAGATGAACCTTCACCAAATTCAGGCTCAGCTAGGTCTTGGTCATCCGTACCTAGGGCTCTGCCCCAGTGCAGGGTCTGGATTGTAGGCACAGTCATGTTTTCAAGGAGGTCCATGGGCAGAAGATCTAGCAATTCTTTTGTGAACAAAGGCTATTAGGTCTATCTTGTGTTACCACAGGAGAGGAGGCAAGACTCTTCTTCACATCTCCAGCTAGAGATGTAAAAGGCTAATGTGACTGGTGTGCCAGACATTGCTACTTCCTTCCTCCCCTTCACTGCATATTCTTGGGGCTGGAAAAATCCAGCCTTAGAGTAGGTCTGGGCTACTTCAGGGCTTTGGGGCTTTCCCACCCCAAAATAAATACAGTGCCTGCACCTACCTGTGCTGCTCTTGTGGTTTAATCCCAGCCAGCAACTACCATGCAGCTATTCACTCCCCTCCTCCCTCCCCCCTCTCCCTCTCCCCCACTGAACAAAGAAACTCATGAATTGAGATACAAACAATTTAATAATTTAAAATTAATAAAATAAAATAAAGATACTAATAATGCAAACGATACTGATAATACTCATATTAATACTAATAATATGTAATGAAAATAGTACTAGCACTACTAATCATAATGTGGAATGAAACTAATTAATTGAAAGAAAAACAAATTATCCACCACCTGTCAATGGATGACCAGCCAGTCCCTGAGCAGCAAGATCTAGAGTGAGCAGGAGCCAGAGCCCGAGCGCCAGACTCAGTGTGAGAGAGTCCCAGGGAGAGATAGAGCGACTGACAGAACCCTGGCCCACTACACCTAATCATATACCGAGCATGACCTTTTCTGTAACAAAATATCCCTTTGGTCATTCTGGGTCAGCTGTCTTGTCTGTGTCCCCTCTCAGCTTCTTCTCTATAAGATGCAGCGTCAGAAACTGAAAAAGTCCTTGATTTCATATAAACGTTGCTCAGCAACAGCTAAAAACCAGTAGTGTGTTATCAATATTCTCCTCAGCACAAGCAAAACATAGCCTCATACTGTGAAGAAAATTAACTGTATCCCAACTGAAACCAGAACAGCTATGAAAGTCTTCTGGCCAGTTCTCATTTCACAGACATCTTGTGACTTTTGATTGCCTGCCCCGGTAACAGAGCTGAAGTATCATGCCCTATTTCTTCCATCCTTACTTCACAACTGAAAAATTCAGAAGGCTCCCCTGCAAATGCAGGTGATGCACACCCAGACATCTTCCTTGCCTATCACCAGGCAAAAAACCAAAACATCTTTCTTTAGGGGTCCACAGATCCTCTGCAGTTCCCAGTATGTTCCTGAGAACCATTTTCTCTCCTTGCTAGCAGGTGCCCATAGTGGTTTCCTGACCCTTGTTCCTGTTTACAGCACAAAAACCTGAGTGTGAATTCCACTGCTAATCTGAGATCTTGAGTCAGATAATACCAAGTTGTTTCCAAGTTCAACCAAGTGACTAATTTTTCAAAGATCTGTGAAAAATCCTAGCCAAAGCCACTTTAAATGGATCACTTTAGGCCTTTGAAACCTGGTGGCATCAAAATGCTTAGAATTCACAGCATCTGTTCAGTGACTTATGACAGTAATTAAACCAGAAATATCAACACTGCTCTGTTTCTGTTATGTGGGGCATACTGGAATCAGATCAGCCAGCTTCCCTGAGATCTGAGTTCCTGATTTGCTCTGCTTATGCTTGGCTGTTTGCTCTGTTCTCTCATAAGTGCAACACAGACCTTTCAATTCACTGCACCCTCAGGACCTTTCTTCTAATCCAGCTGTATAATTCATTTTGCCACAGAGAGCCATACCCACCTCTTGAAGCAATTGAAGTGTTGGTTTCAGGAGGGCCTGGGAACCTCATTATTATCAACAAGGTTTTTGCTGCTAAGGCAGTGGGAAGTGGTGTTAAGAAACGAAGCCAGAACAAACTTTGCCTTGGTGCCTATATTGAATTTTTGACTTTTCCTGCAAACTGCAGGAGGGAGGCCTGGAGTTGGGAGCAGGCTGCAGTCTGGGGCAATGTCACGTGCTCTCCCACATCGTCCCACGTTATCAGCCAATGGTCATGCTCCCTGGTATTTTGCCACTGCAGCCTTCAAATGTCATTAGCCCTGTGGGTAATTCCACTTTACACTCCAGTGCATCAACCTCACTCCTGGCATACGGAAGCTGTACTGCCGCTTAGGAGATAAAGCTTCAAGTCCCAGTTCTGGCTTTCAAAATCTTGATTTCTTTCCTCTATGGCAGACTTAAATTTAGCACTCAGCAAGGGTCTAGAGTGCGTTCATAGGAATGAAAAGACATGGTCTTGAGGGCTGAGGAGGGTGCTGAAAAATATACTTAACCCCTTGTGATCAGTGGTGGGGCAAGGGAGGGGGGTCTGATGACAATCCCAAATAGCATTTCACTTCAACACCTCTGCTGGTACTGCAGCGTGGCCCAGAGCTGGGGCTGCTGGTGTTCAGTGGATCTGGTCAGCTCAACTCCTCTCTGTCCTCGTAGTGGTCAGGGAGCAGGTTCTTAGCAAGGGGCCCTCTCTGGGAACAAAAAACAAGCAGCTGATGGCTTTCATAGGTTCCAGACCTTCCCTCACTGGCGAGGAGGGATCTGAGCAGATACACTGACAGCCTCAAAGGTCTCATGCTCTAGTGTGGAAGATCAGAGAAGAGGATGTTTGGATGTGACACAGTGCTTTCTCAAATATAGATCTCAGGGGCATGGCCAAAGAATATTATTTGCCCTTTGTTTGATTTTTTTCCCTCCTAACCGAGTCTTTCTTTTACTTGCAGCTCAGTATTTCGCTAGCATCATGGTCATCGTTGGTCTCTCTGTGGTGGTAACAGTGCTGGTTCTGCAGTTCCACCATCACGACCCACAAGCAGGACAAATGCCCAAATGGGTAAGTATCTTGGGTGGTATCTTTCAACAGCCTAATGAAAGAAAAAAATTAATCTAAAGCCTATAGTAAACTAGGTACAAATAAGGGGCAGGAGTTGTTCTCCATTAATCTGAGGAATCAGCTACAGACACTACGTTTGACACTTAAGTTTGCTATTATAG